CAGTTCCGTACACAAAATCTCAAGTGTGTGTGTGTGTCCACCCCTGTTTCCAAGGGCCTTACTCTAGCTATTCCTACTATTCTCCTCCAACCACCTGTACAGAACACTCGCAGGGGGTGGCAGCAGGAACGAGAGTCTGCCACCAACGAAGACACTCTCGATTTCCTGGTGATACTGGGACTGATCATCCCAGCGTACCTGCAAATTCTCCAATTGTTTGAATCATTTCACTTGCACTCTTGTTCAACCATACTGTTGCTCGGACTTTGCACATTTTTTCAGTCAAGGTCTAACCTGCAGTAACTTTAAAGAGCTAATGCCCTCCGCGAAGCAGCCTGAAATCGCGCTCTACGGAGCAACCTTCTCAAGTGTGTTTCCGCAGCTTCTTCCCACTGTGGTAAGCTGTGTGATCCCTGCGGGGCGCCGTTACTGCAAGAACCTTTTCACTCCTCACCGCGGGAGTAAGTTTCCTGAAGTTTTTCTGAAGTTCACTCGACTGAATTTTTCCTGCTCGAAATCAGCTTGCTTGGATTGTCTCACCTGGCACACGTGAAGCTTTACTGCAGAGTCCACTGAAACCTTTACTGAGAACATACTGCAGAGTTCGACTGCCTCAGTTTCACCCGAGAATCCTTCTCATGTTCATTTAGTTTCTTCAAGTTTTCAATTCTTTTTCCGAGATTTTAATTAGAGCCAGTTCCACACTCCTCCACTTTGCAGCAATATATATTGTATTGTATTATTTTTCAAGTTCAAGTTCCAGGACTGCTTCATTTTACATATTTACATACATACATCGACCTTATTCGATTTGCCGAGCAGCCATGACGTATCCTTGGCCGTATTCATTACCACATCACCTACAGCCACCACCACAGCCCACACGACCACACTGGTATCCTTATCCACCACAAACTCCGCCGCAACCATATCCAACACTTCCACCATTTCCACCACATCATCCAATACCTCATGTCTATCCACATCCCACGACATTTCCCCCACAAACACATTACATGCAACCGGCGTCACATTATCAACCACACCTGCCACGTTATCCAACACAACCTATCCCCACAGCCCCGCAGCACATTGCCGTTTCCGCTTCAGTTCAGCATACGCCACCACAACCACAACCACAAGCGCCGCAATCCACACCCCAGCCGACTGCGCCGCCAACGCCGCTTACCTCAGCGGATCCCACGCACACAGCAACCCCTGCATTACCTGACAATTCACCAACAGCTGCTGCTGCTCCACCACCCGCTCAACCAGCAACTTCAATTCAGCAGTCCACTCAAGCCACTTCCACAGACCAAACCACTACACACACCACTCCAAGACCCATTACACAGCCCGCCAACCCCGCGCCACCACCTTCTGTGGCACGCTCAACCAGACCGACGCCCTCCATTTCACCTCCACGCATACAGGAACATCACCGCTATTCAGCCTTTCCCGCTGTTCCCACCAGCGCAGCTTCCCAGGCTACACCCAGATCCAGGACACGCGCTCGATCCCCACTGCCACGCCGACGACGCTCAGCTACACAATGTATTTCCAGTACGCAACCGCGTTCAACACCTGATGAAGCCATGCGCCGCAGCCATCAGCACTGGCTCTTGACAAATCCCAACCAGCCACCAAAGGTATAACTGTTGCCACCGCCACAAAACCAACTACAGAACCAGCTTCCCGATCTCATCCCATCACACTCAAACCCAATCCACTCTTCAACCCCAAGCGGACCACCAACACAACACCCACAG